AAAAAAAAAAAAAGAAAAACTGTGATCTAGAATTCTCATAAGTACTTACTTCACAAAATGGCATTAATTAAAATTGTTTAATGTCCCTAGCTGCCATATTTGGTCTATTTTTACCGAAGCACTACATACTGATATAAATGATGAGGAAGACATGCTATGAGCTGTTAGAGTGGGGAGGAACTCACATAGAGTACCTAAAATATGCTGTATACAGTCATCCTTCATATCTGCAGTGGATTGGTTCCAGTCCCCCACCCAATATCCAAATCCCTAGATGTTCTTATATAAAATGACTTAATATTGGCATATACGCTACTGTATGCCAATTCTGTATACTTTAAGCCATCTCTAGATTACTTACAATACCTAATATAGTGTAAATACTGTCCTAAATCATTGTTACACTGTTTTTTAAAATTTGCATTTTTATTGTTCTATTATTTTCCAGATGCTTTTTTTGTTTTTTGAGACAGCGTCTCACTTTGTTACCTTCAGTAGAGTGCCATGGCATCAAAGCTCACAGCAGCCTCAAACTCTTGGGCTCAAGCAGTCCTCTTAGCCTCCCAAAGTAGCTGGGACTATAAGCACCCATCACAATGCCCAGCTATTTTTAGAGTGGGAGTGAGTAGGGAGTGGTAAGGTGGGTTGGGTCCTCGCCCTGCCTCAGGCTGGTCTCAAACTCCTAAGCTCAAGCAATCCTCCCGCCTCAGCCTCCCAGAGTGCTAGGATTAGAAGTGTGAGCTATTCTACCCAGCCTCCAAATATGTATATTTGATCTCAGGTTGGTTGAATCTGCAAATAGGGAGGGCTGACTGTATTTTTTTTTTTACTTTATGCGTTATTTAATCCTCAAAATGCTCTAAAGTCAGAAGGTATTATCTCCAAGAGTAATGTTGAAGATCCTTTCTCTGATAAATGATTTTACTGGAATTTATGAACCATACTTTTTGTACTATAATAGATTCTTTCTCCAAAATACCTCCCCAAGATTATTCAGAAGAAAACAGTAAGAAAGTATTTTCATTTAAAAACCCGTGTCTGGGCTCGGCGCCTGTAGCTCAAGTGGCTAAGGTGCCAGCCACATACACCTAAGGTGGCGGATTTGAATCCAGCCCGGGCCTGCCAAAACTACAATGACGGCTGCAACCAAAAAATAGCCGGGCACTGTGGTGGGCGCCTGTGGTCCCAGCTACTTGGGAGGCTGAGGCAGGAGACTCACTTGAGCCCAGGAGTTAGAGGTTGCTGTGAGCTGTGATGCCACAGCACTCTACCCAGGGTGACAGCTTGAGTCTCTGTCTCAAAAAAAATAAATAAATAAAAACCTGTGTCTAACACTGGGTATAGTGGCTCATGCCTGTAATCCTAGAACTCTTGAGAGGCCGAGGTCCACAGAGCAAGACCCTGTGTGTAAAAACTAGCTGGACGTTGTGGTGGGTGCCTATAGTCCCAGCTACTTGGGAGGCTGAGGTAAGAGGATCTTTGGAGCCCAAGAGTTTGAGGTTATTGTGAGTTATGATTCCATGGCATTCTACCGAGAGTGACAAAGTGAGACTCTGTCTCAAAAAAACCTATTTTAGGGGCCGGCACTTGTGGCTCAAAGGAGTGAGGCACCAGCCGCATATACCAGAGGTGGCAGGTTCAAACCCAGCCCCGGCCAAAAACTGCAAAAAAACTCCCAAACTTATTCTATTGAGTGTTAGAGGGTTATTTTCATTTTCCCTTAGGAAATTTAACTCCTAGGAGAAAAGGAACGATAGGCATAAAGAGAACCTCCCTATACCTTTTATAACATGGGATACCTTCTTGGGAAAATGAACAGAGAAGCTCAGATGTGTTTTATCTCTAAGTTGAATTATTAGATTGTAAGATAAATGACAATTTTTCCTGAATCTCATGTATTTTATAATCTAAGAGCGATAGAATAGCTGTGGTGGCTTTCAGTAAATACATTTTCTTTATTAGGGAAACATCCTTTTGAGTGTAAAGATTGACATTTGACAAGGAAGAAGGTATTTCAGAATAGACATATCTCTTATCATCTGCATGAGAGAAATTGAGAAATTACTCTTGGAAAATTATGAACACTGATACAGTATTTGTCAGCAATATCAAAGGAACTTTCTTGGGAAAGTTAGGACCAGTAGAGTTATACTAGTGTTATGCATTTTAGAGATGAATGGCTATGTATTTTATAAGAAAAACATCATAACACGGTAGTATTAAAAATCTGTTCATAGCTATATTTGGTATAGTTTATTGGTTTTCAAATACTTTGAAATTTTGAATAATTAGATTTCCTAGAAATTTAGCCAATGGGGCATGTGCCAGAGTAGGATTGGCTGGTGATAGCTTCCACATAACATATCTACTATGGTTTCCCTCCATAGACTTGGTTTCAGTTCTCTCCATCTTTTTTTTTTTGGAGACAGTCTCACTGTTACCCTGAGTAGAGTGCCCTGGCATCATCATAGCTCACAGCAACCTCAAACTCTTGGACTCAAGCAATCCTCTTGCTTCAGCCTCCCAAGTAACTGAGATTATAGGCACTCCCTACAATACTTTTTTTTTTTCCTTTGAGACAGTCTCAAGCTGTTGCCCTGGGTAGAGTGCAGTGGCATCACAACTCACAGCAACCTCCTACTCTTGGGCTTAAACAAATTCTCTTGCCCCAGCCTCCTAAGTAGCTGGGAATATAGGTGCCCACCAGAACGCATGGCTATTTTTTGGTTGTAGTTGTCATTGTTTGATGCGCCCAGGCTGGGTTCAACCTGCTAGCTCTGGTGTGTGTGACTGGTGTCTTGGCTGTTTGAGCTACAGGCGCTTAGCCTATTTTTATTTATTTATTTTTTATGTTTTTTTGAGACAGAGTCTCACTATGTTGCCCTCTGTAGAGAGATGTGGCGTCATAGCTCACAGCAACCTCAAACTCTTGGGCTTAAGCAATTTTCTTGCCTCAGTCTCTCAAGTAGCTGGGACTGCAGGTGCCCGCCACAATGCCCACCAATTTTTTGTTGTTGTCAATTGTTGTTTAGCAGGCCTTGGCTGGGTTCGAACCCTCCAGCCCCGGTGCATGTGGCTGGTGCCCTAACCACTGAGTTATGGGGGCCAAGCCAGTGCTCTATTTTTAGTAGAGATGAGGTCTTGCTCTTGCTCAGGCTGGTGTCAAACTTCTGAGCTAAAGGCTTCCCAGAATGTTAGGATTACAGGGGTGAGCCACCATGCCCAGCCAGTCATCTCTATCTATTAAACCAGGTGATCACTTCTGCCCGGGGCCAGAGTACACCAAGGGCGATCTTTTAAACCTTTAATTTCTCACTTTAATCTTAGTTCTTTCTCTACTTCCATCCCTTCGCTTTCCCAATTGAGGTGTAGATTAAATAGGTAAACCTGGCATGAATGGGCTGTCTTTGTCTTATCACCTGCCTCTTGCTCTTATCCCAGGGGGCATGGAGGGTGGAGGCTGGACTTGGCTGTTATCACTTTAATCCCTTTTCTTTTGTAGCCAGCATCAGTAGATGCTGGTAAGAGGTTTCTACTCATCTCTGCCCCTGTTAAAATCTGTACTTAACTGAGATTTAATAATTGTCATTTATTTAAAAAATTATTTCAAAGTTTAGAAAAGAAATTGTAAAACAAAGCCTTTGTGATCTCAGTGGTGATAGATTTCCAAGTATTTCACAGGTTATTCTTATTCTGCCTTTAACAATCTACAGGCGTTATTTTTAATTTTATTTTCACAAGTTCTTTAGAAAAATATTTATTTGATATGCCTATCAGTTATAAACATTATGTAACATTTTATGGAATTTGAAATATAAGGATAAAAGTTAACCATATTTGTACATTTATTAAACAGCCATTATTTTGATGCATTTAGCATCTAATATTTTTACATGTGTAGTTTTCCTATAGTTGTGCCCATATGTACATAGGCTTGGCGCCTATAACTCAAGTGGCTAAGGTGCCAGCCACATAACACTAGAGCTAGTGGGTTCCAATCCAGCCCGGGCCTGCCAAACAATGACAACTACAACCAAAAAATAGCTGGGCATTGTGGTGGACGCCTGTCGTCTCAGCTGCTTGGAAGGCTGAGGCAAGAGAATCGCTTAAGCCTAGGAGTTGGAGGTTGCTGTGAGCTGTGATGCCACAGCACTCTACCCAGGGTGACAACTTGAGGCTCTGTCTACAAAAATACATGGTCATAAATTATGTTCATTTAATTATGTTTCTGGCTTTAACCTGTTCTTAGGATAGTATCAGTTGTGTGTTCTTAGTAAAGTTTTGTTGGGCAACTGTAGATCAGTGGTTAGGGCACCGGCCACATGCTCCAGGGCTGGTGGGTTTGAACCTGGCTTGATCCTGCTAAACAACAACAAAAAAATAGCCAGGTGTTGTGATGGGTGCCTGTCATCTCAGCTACTAGGGAGGCTGAGGCAAGAGAATTGCTTGAGCTCAAGAGTTTGAAGTTGTAAGATAATGACGCCACAGTACTCTACTAAGGGGGACAAAGTGAAACTCTGCCTCAATAAGTAAAAAAAGTTATATTCTGGGTGGTGCCTGTGGCTCAGTGCGTAGGGCACCAGCCCCATATACCGAGAGTGGTGGGTTCAAACCCAGCCCCTGCTAAACTGTAACAACAAGGAAAAATAGCCAGGCGGTGTGGAGGGCACCTGTAGTCCCAGCTACTCTGGAGGCTGAGGCAAGAGAATCGCCTAAGCCCAAGAGCTGGAGGTTGCTATGAGCTGTGATGACACGGCACTGTACCGAGGGTGACAGAATGAGGCTTGTTTCTACAAAAAAAAAAAAAAGTTATGTTCTTTTTTGAGGTTAAAAATTGTATCTTGGGTAGCCTGTGGCATAGTGGGTAAGGAACTGGCCTCATACTGAGGGTGTTGGGTTCAAACCCAGCCCTGGCCAAACTGCAATGGGAAAATAGCCGGGCGTTGTAGCAGGCACCTATAGTCCCAGCTACTCAGGAGGCCAAGGCAGGAGAATCACCTAAGCCCAAGGAGTTGGAGGTTGCTGTCAGCTGTGATGCCTTGGCATTCTACTGAGGGTTAATAAGTGAAACTCTGTCTCAAAAAAAAAAAAAAAAAGCTATCTTTATTTAAGAGTGATTCAAGGGGCTCAGTGCCCATAGCACAGTGGTTACAGTGCCAGCCACATACACTGAAGTTGGCAAGTTCAAACCCAGCCCAGGCCAGCTAACCAACAAAGACAACTGCAATAAAAAATAGCCAGGCTGTGGTGGGCCCCTATAGTCCCAGCTACTTGGGAGGCTGAGGCAAGAGAATCGCTTAAGCCCAGGTTGCTATGAGCTGTGACACCAGGTCACTCTACCAAGGGCAACATAGTGAGACTCTGTCTCAAACAAACAAAAAAAAATCATTTAAGGGCTTTGGTTATAGGGCTGGAAAGTTACTATGTTGCCTTTAACTCCTTAATAACATTGAATCCTTATTTTTTTTTCCAGAAGACAGATACTTCTCAGGAGTCAAAGGTAAGAGCTCTATGCCAGGTCGGAAGGAAACTTTATTGAGGCTTTCAGGTGAAGGGATGCACGTATACCTGGTGGAAGGTGAACTCAGCTGTACTTGTGTTTTGTTTTTGCATTGTTTTTGATCACTGAGCTGTGGTGGGAGGTAAAATTATAATATTTGTGATTTCTTGAAAAAGATAAAGTGGCCATCCACATCAGTGCGGTCTTATTGATGGATGTTGAGAATGCCATTGTTTAAGAAGTGATTATATATCAAATGAAAACCTACTGAGTTCCCTATCAGTAACTATTACATGAATACATTTTTTATTTTTATTTTTGAGACAGGGTCTTGTTCTGTGGCCCAGGCTGGAGGGCATTGGCATGATCATAGCCCACAGCAGCAACTTCTAACTTGTGGGTTCAAGTGATCCTTCTGCCTCAGCCTCCCAAGTAGCTGGGCCTATAGGCACCCACCATCATGCTTGACTAATTTTTTAAATTTTCTGTGGAGACAAGGTCTCACTATGAGTACATTTTTTTAAAATAATGATTTTTGTTTTAGAATTAGAAAATAGGAGTTCACGTATAACTACTGCTTTTCTGTTAATGAAGATTTTGTGGTCAAAAGCTATTTCTATTCATGTAGGCTCAAGCAAACTGTCGAGTAGGAGTTGCAGCATTGAATACTCTCGCAGGCTATATTGACTGGGTGTCTATGAGTCACATTACTGCTGAAAACTGTAAACTCTTGGAGATGCTGTGCCTGCTTCTGAACGAACAGGAACTTCAGTTGGGTGCAGCTGAGTGTCTTCTCATTGCAGTCAGCAGAAAAGTAAGTTACCACTTCAAAGTGACTTCTTCTCAGAGTCTCTGAGCTAGGCTGTATGTGTTTGGGATTTTTTTTTTTTTTTTTGCTCTGTTGCCCACGGTGGAGTGCTATGGCATCACAGCTCAGAGCAACCTCCAACTCCTGGGCTTAAGCAATTCTCTTGCCTCAGCCTCCCAAGTAGCTGGGACTACTGGCACCCGCCACAATACCCAGCTATTTTTTGTTGCAGTTGTCACTGCTGTTTCAGCTGGCTGGGGCTGGATTCCAACCTGCCACCCTTGGCGCCCTACAAATTGAGCCATAGGTGCCACCCCTGTATGTGCGTTTTTAATTGCATGTTGCACAGACATTTATAGGTTTGGAGTTTTTTTCCCTTGAAGGCAACTTACTGCCTACTTCCAAGCCCTTTGGATAGAAGTTTGCAGGTATTGTAGGGATTCACTGGCTGGGATTTGTTAGGCTACTTGGTACTTGAAACAGCTGTGATTCTTCACACTTTATACTTTAAAAAAAGTAATGTTAAAGTTTCAAGCTTACTTAATGTCTGTCTATGAATCTTAGATGGTGGCCACACTAGCTTTATATCTGTATTGGGTAACAATTGGGACCATGACTTTTTTCTCCGTAGGAATGTTAACCTATGAATATAATTTACTTTGTTGTCATATCAGCATTGTTGCCCCAAACATTTAAAATGTAAGTCTCATCCAGACTTAGTTTTAAAGAGTTGACTTTTTTCCAGTGTCTGTTAAGCTCTAGGGTATATGATAAATTATGAAGTCAGTATATTTTATTACATATGTATAGAACATGTCAAAACTTTGAAGCTTTTAATAATATAGTTTGTATGACCATGTTTCCCTAAAATTGGATGTAGGGCAAGTTGGAAGACCGGAAGCCCTTGATGGTCTTATTTGGAGATGTTGCCATGCATTATATACTCTCTGCTGCACAGTGAGTATCTGTTCTTTTCCTTTCTTTTGTTAAGAAATGAGGGTCCTCCTCTTCTCTCTCCTCTCTTTTCTCTTCTCTTTGGTGCTGCTCTGCAGCATCCCTCACCTATAAAAACCTTTCATACAAAAAAAAAAAGAAAAGAGATGAGGATCTTAATTGTGTTGCCCAAACACAGTTTGAGGCTGGCCACAACACATATAATTATGTACAGTACATATACTTGATAATTATATTAAATGTCTATATCACTGATTTATGTGTTTACTTTTTGTGTTTTTTTTTGTTTTGTTTTTTTTTGTTTTTTTTTGCAGTTTTTGGCCGGGGCCAGATTTGAACCCGCCACCTCCGGTATATGGGGCCTGGCGCCCTACTCCTTTGAGCTACAGGCGCCACCCAGATTTACTTTTTTTTTGTTCTGAGACAGAGCCTTGCTATGTTACCCCAAGTAGAAGGTAGTAGTGTCATTATAGCTCACTGTAACCACAAACTCTTGGGCTCAAGAGATCTCTTGCCTTAGCCTCCTGAGTAGCTTAGACTATAGTTATGTGCCATGATGCCCAGCTAAATTTCCTATTTTTAGTAGAGATAGGATCTCGTTCTTGTTCAAGCTGGTTTCAAAACTCCTGACCTCAAGCAATTCTCCTGCCTCAGCCTCCTAAAGAGCTAAGATTACAGGTGTGAGCCACCTTGCCTAACCAAAGAAGGCATTTTTATCATAAGAAATAATAGTTCTGTGCATGTTACTGCCCCTGAAGACCTTCTAGTGGGACAAGATGTGGGGGTGGATGACAGTGATATTGACAATCCTGAACTTGTGTAGGCCTAGGCTAATGTGTTTGTGTTTTTAACAAAAAAATTAAAAAATTTTTTTAAAATAGCAATAAGCTATGGACTAAGAGTATGAAAAAGAAAATACTTTGTATTGCTGTACAATATGTGCTTTAAGTTAATGTTATTACAAAAGAGTAAAAAGGTTTTAAAAATTGAGTTTATAAAGTAAAAAAGTTACAATAAGCTAAGGATAATTCATTATGTAAAAAAGAAAATTTGTTTTATGAATGTAGCGTGACCTAAGTATAGAATGTTTACAGTGTTATATTAGTGACTTAGGCCTTCATATTTACTTACTACTCACCCACTGATTCACCCAGAGCAACTTCCAGTCCTGCAGGCTCCATTTATGATAAATGCTCTGTACCGGTGTACTAATTTTTATCTTTCATGTTTTATTATTACTCTTAACTTTCTTTTTTTTTTTGACACAGGGTCTTGCTCTGCTATTCAGGCTAGAGTGCAGTGATACAGTCATGGCACGTTGCAACCTCAAACTCCTAGGTTCAAGTGATCCTATTGCCTCAACCTTCCAAGGCACTGTGATCACAAGCATGAGCCAATGCACTCAACCATTTATTGTACCTTTCTTATGTTTAGATACACACACAAATACTTAACTATTGTATTCTAATTTCCAACAGTTTTACAGTATTCACTACACATGCTATACAGGTTTGTAGTCTAGGAGCAATAGGCTATATCATGTAGCCTAGGTGTGTAGTAGACTATACCGTCTAGGGTTTTTTTTGTTTGTTTTTTTTTTAGAGACAGAGTTTCACTTTGTCCCCCTCGGTAGAGTGCTATGAAGTCACAGCTCACAGCAACCTCCAGCTCTTGGGCTTAGGCGATTCTCTTGCCTCAGCCTCCTGAGTAGCTGGGACTACAGGTGCCCTCCACAACGCCCAGCTATTTTTTTTTGTTGCAATTTGGCCAGGGCTGGGTTTGAACCCGCCACCCTTGTTATATGGGGCCGGCGCCCTGCTCACTGAGCCATAGGGGCAGCCCGTGAAACCACATTTTAAGTAACACGTGATTGTAATAATTCTGCTTATTTTTTTTCAATTGCTCTGGAAAATAGTAGAGCATTTTCTGATATATGTTTCTTATTAGGAAGTCAGGTAGAACTATGTGTTACAAATAGTTAAAGCTGTTGCTCTTTTCAGTACTCTTCACTTAGCCTTGGTCTCATGGTGAAATGAAAAGGTGTGAGACACATTCATATTACTTAAAATCTCTTGCTAGCCATTCTAATATGCATTTATCATGATTTTCTTGTATTTTTTTTTTTTGTTTAGAGTCTCACTTTATTGCCCTTGGTAGAGTGCTGTGTCATCATAGCTTACAGCAACCTCCAGCTCTTGGGCTTAGGCAATTCTCTTGCCTCAGCCTCCCGAGTTGCTGGGACTACAGGCACCTGCCACAATTCCAGGCTATTTTTTGTCGCAGTTCGGCCAGGGCTGGGTTCAAACCTGCCACCCTTGGTATATGGGGCCAGCGCCCTACTCACTGAGCCACAGGTGCCACCCTATCATGACTTTCTTTCCTATAGAGACCACAGTTCTCTTTTTCAGAGGTCCTTGTTAATTGAATGAATAACAAGTCCTTTGGGTAGCCACTATGGTTACTGCTTCTAAGTTCCATAGAGCCCGTGACATTCACAGTGAAGTGTCCCATTTCCACTTGTGTTATGAGTACTGTACCACACCCATGATTAGTTGAACTACTTATATATGACTGAAACCCACCCAGACAGTTAGCCTGTAGAACCTGTACTGGAAACCATTAACACCAAACTGCCCTCTAGCATCACTAGAGCCTAGGCTTTATTTTCCGTGCTTTTTACATTAAAAGTACTCTACTGCCTCCAGAAAGCAGTTCATATGGCTACTGCTCATACTAGTTATTAATTTCTGGTGGTCGTATATCATTTCAGGTCAGGTTTTGCCACCAAATAGGTTATAATTTTTTTAATTTATGAGAACTACTTAGATTTTTGAATTATAGACCTGAGCTAAATGATTTGGAGAAATCTGATACAAAGTCATGTTTTTATTAAAGTCCTTTTTATTTTCTCAGTGGTATAAAGAATTCTCTCCTCTTACAGGATTGCGGATGGAGGAGGCTTGGTAGAAAAACACTATGTCTTTTTGAAGAGACTCTGTCAGGTGTTGTCTGCACTGGGCAATCAGCTGTGCGCATTGCTGGTGAGCAAGGACTTATTTTCTGGAGAGCTTTAGGGCCACTTGGGGAGAGCATTTAGAAAGTTGTTTCATAAGGGGTTGTAGATGCCATTGATTTTAATCTGATAGGGCATTGCCCTATAGATTATTTTATGTGATTCTATAGTTTGAATTATTTTAATATAATAAGGTTAAAGGTATACATTTCATTTAAAAATAACAGAATTATTAACATCAACAGCAAACATTTGCATCTATTATTTCATATAGTCAACATTACAGTTTTTTTTTTTTAGTTTTGGTTCATCAATCTGCTGGAGTACATTACCCTATTAATTCTGTTAGTCCACGAAACATGGACTTCATAAAGAACTTTTCTTTGCAATCTAAAGGATATATTGGATCATGCAAGAAAACTTTAGACTGATTAACCAAGAAAAACCTGTTTTAGGTTTATTAAATATTAGGGAAATATTTAATACTCACTCTTATAAGTTGGAAAATAGGACATTGGAGTAGACATTTGCGATTAATGTTATGCCTTTTTGTGGTGGTTTAAGTGGTTAGGATAGTTTCAGACATGAGATATAATACTATTGAGTGATTATTTAATAGCTTGGTCACAGAGCTATGAATAGGCCAGGACTGAAGTAGTATGTTTTTTTTTTTCTCTCTAATTTCTAAAATGAATATTCTTTTTTTTTTTTTTTTCTTTTTTTGAGATGGAGTCTGACTATGTTGCCCTCGGTAAAGTGCTGTGGCATCACAGCTCACGGTAACCTCAAACTCATGGGCTTCAGTGATTCTGAAGTGATTCTTCAGTGATTGCCTCAGCCTCCCAAGTAGCTGGGACTATAGGTGCCCACCACAATGCCCAGCTATTTTTTTGTTGTAGTTGTCGTTGTTTGGCAGACCTGGCCACGTTTGAACCCACCAGCCCCAGTGTATATGGCCAGCACCCTAGCCACTGAGCTTCAGGCCCCGAGTCAGAAATGAACATTCTTTTTCATTTTGATATGTGACCACAAGATGAGTTTTAATGATGATGACTGGGTAGGTAAAGTAGCTTTCCTGTATATTAGCCTGTGAAGTGATGCCTTAAGCCAAAAGAAGTACAAAGTCCTTTCAGAACAAACTTCTTTTTTTTATTTTTTTTTGAGACAGAATCTCAGTATGTCGCCCTTGGTAGAGTGTTATGGTGTCACAGCTCACAGCAACCTCAAACTCTTGGGCTTAAGCAATTCTCTTGCCTCAGCCTCCCAAGTAGCTGGGACTACCACCCAGCTATTTTTTGTTGTTGTTGTAATTGTCATTGTTGTTTAGCAGGCCTGGGCCAGGTTTGAACCAGCCAGCCCTGGTGTATATGGCCAGCACCCTAACCACTGAACTATAGGTGCCAAGCCAAGAACGTTTTTTGAGGGTTTAATTTATCTGTATTACTCTCCCCCTCCTCCCCTCACTCCCATCAACGTCATTAATGTAGTCTTTTTCTCCTACAGGGTGTAGATTCTGATGTAGAAACCCCAGCAAACTTTGGGAAATACCTGGAATCTTTTCTTGCTTTCACAACCCACCCAAGTCAGGTAAACTTTATGCAGGTAACTTTTCAAAATTTTAGGTAGATGAACCAAAATCAAGCACGGTAGCCTGAAGTAATATGGCAGCTCACATATAAAATTTGCCTCTTCAGTCCTTAGTGAATGACTTAAAGTGTCATTTCATTAAGAGAAATACTGACTCTTCTTCCCATGGCAAGCATTGCACTGTCTAGATGAGCAGATTTTCTCCTCAGGTAATATTCTGATCGTGGTAAGTTAGAAGCAAGGTGTATCCTGGGTACTAAAGTTATAAAGGTACTTTATTTTTTTATTATTATTATTATTTTAAAGATACTTTAAAACCAGTAATCTGAGTAATTATGTTATTACACAATTTATTTTATTTTATTTTATTTATTTTTTTGCAGTTTTTGGCTGGGGCTGGTTTGGAACCCACCACTTCCAGCATATGGGGCCAGCACCCTACTCCTTGAGCCACAGACTCCACCCTACACAATTTAATCCGATTTAAGATTTTCCTTCTAATATCCCTCTGAGATTCCATTATCCTTTCCTGCATAGAAGAGAAAGTGATAGAAAGTTTAGCGCACACTCAGGAATTAGACCTGACCCACAGCCTGTCTTCTTAATATGTGGTCCACAGTGAGCATCCATTACTGATGCACTGATGCATTACTGTCATAGAGACAATTTCAAAGTATCAAAGAAATTTATTTCTATGGAAAAATGTAGTTGGTAACTGCTTAGTTAAGTAATAATCTTGATTATATAGAATCCACGTACTCAAACTGAGGTTTTCATTTCTTTCTTTCCCTTTAGTTCCTACGCTCTTCAACTCAGATGACCTGGGGAGCCCTCTTCCGTCATGAGATCTTAAACCGTGATCCTTTGCTATTAGCAATGATACCAAAATATCTTCGTGCTTCTATGACAAACTTGGTCAAGGTATATGATGGGAATCTAAATGTGGGAATGTAGGTGAATACACATAATAATGAGGCATCATTAGCAGCCCTTTCTTAGTCACTAAGATCCCTCCTTTGGGCCTGTTATTCTCTTATTCCTTAGGAAGAAAGCAGTCCATACTAGTTATTATAACTGCTTTTTTTTTTTTTTTGGAACATTTCTATATCAAGCATTGGGCTAAGTGTTTGGATAAGAGCAGTGACCATACAACGTGATGATTGCCAGGGATTTAAAAAAGCAAAATGCTATGCAGTACATTGGAGGGTACAATAAGGAAGATTCCAAGAAATCATATCTAAAGATTGTTTCTGAAGCCCAAGTGAGAGTCAAGAAGGCATATGAGAAGGGAATGAAGGTGAAAGCAAGATTGCTTACTGCCTCGTTCCAATGTTGCTCTTAAATTCCCTAAGATCTGCTAAGAGGTCTTGCAACTGACAGATTCTTAATCTTGATTTGTAAAGTCAGAGAATGGGACTCATTCAAGGGTCCCCTTATTTGCTCAAGGAATTTTCTTAGGACATTGCATACTGTGTGTTCTAATTCTCAGCCATGGTCTTCAATACTTATAAAGTTATACAAGTTTATTCTCAGCAGTTATTTAATGAGGCAAATAATTCTCAGTTCTTTCTTCTTTAGAGTATGCTGGATTATCACTTTTGTCTTGGGCTATCTTCATAATTATATATGTTAAACAAATTGCAGAATTTAATTCTCCCTGAGGAACTTGTAGGAAGGTATCGACTAAAAGTGTTCTTTTTTCTACCACACTCTGGAATACTGGAACTGGGAAAAAACTATGGACTTCCAGAATAACCAAAGCAATTATTTACCATAAAAGATCTCACTCAAACCCTTAACTCTTAAATCAAAAAGTGCTTGAGCTTCTGAAGCCTGTGTACTCTTTTATTAGGTCCATTTTCATCTCCTACCCCAATTACCTTTCTCTTTCCAGATGGGCTTCCCTTCTAAAACAGACAGCCCTAGCTGTGAATATTCTCGATTTGATTTTGATAGTGATGAAGACTTCAATGCTTTCTTCAACTGTAAGTGATCCCAGCCTGCATTTCTCACAGCAGTCTCAGAATGGCTTCTAATGTTTTTTTGTCTAGTTATGCTAGGGTTTTTTTTTGTTTGTTTGTTTATTTGTTTGTTTTGAGACAGAGTCTTACTCTTATAACCCTGGGTATAGTACTGTGCGTCATTGTAGCTTACAACCTCAAACTCTTGGGCTTGACCAGTTTCTTGCCTCAGCCTCTCAAGTAACTGGGACTACAGGCACACACCCCTATGTCCAGTTACATTTTTCTATTTTTAGTAGAGGTGGGGTCTCACTCTTGCTCAGGCTAGTCTTAAACTCCTGAGCTCAAGCAGTCCACCTGCCTCAACCTCCTAGAGTGCCAATAAGATTATAGTTGTGAGCCACTGCACCTGGCCTCAGGCTTAGGGTTCTTATTAAAGATTCGCAAATCTAGACAGCAGCCTGCTTAAGCTCCATTTTCCCACTGCAGAATAGTGCAAGGGCTATTGCATTCCAGATATCTTCTGTTCTGCACCACAAACTTGCAGCCTTTGGACATTGATGTGTAGGGATGTTAACCATACTTAGGATGCTCTTGGATTGTTTTCATATTTAGGATAAATATCATCTTACCTTATGGTTCTTTCTTCCCCTGAAGAGTGATCTGGATTTTCTTTGTGGCCCAGGCTGGAGAAAGTGATGTGGTCACAGCTCCTTGCACCCTCAAAGTGGGGTCAAGTGGTCCTCCCACCTCTTAGCTTCCCAAGTAGCTGGGACGACAGGCACACATCACCATGCCCTACTGATAACTTAAGAGATGGGGTCTTGCTATATTGCCCAGGCTGGTTCAGAACTCCTGGCCTTCCAAAGTGCTGGGATTACAGACCTAAGTAACTATGCCTGACTTTTTTTTCTTTTTAACTAACTGCTTTATTAAGATGAAATTCATTTACCATACAATTCATCCATTTATAGTGTACAATTCACTGGTTTTAGCATTTACATAGAGTTGAGCAGTCATCACTGCAATCAGTTTTAGAGTATTTTCCCCCAATTCTCTCATCCTTCTCAAACCTGGGCAACCAATAATCTACTTTCTGTCTCTCTGTTTTGCCTATTGTGAAAATTTCATGTAAATGGAATTACATTCATGGTCTGTTGTGACTGCCTTCTTTCATTTTGCATGCTGTTTGTGATTCATCCATGTTGTCACATATATGAATACTTCATTTCTTATCATTGCCAATATAATATTTGATTATATAGATGCATTTTATTCATTTATTCATCATTAGTTGATGAACATTTGAGTTACTTCAACTTTATGGCTTACTATGAACATTTATACAAATTTTTGTGTGGATATACAAATACTTGGAGTAGATTTGCTAGATAATATGACAATTACATGTTTAACACTTTGAGGAACTGCCAATTATCTTCCACAGCAATTATACCATTTTACATACCCGCCAACCTGATTTCCTTTTAATTCCAACAGAAATGGGAGGCTAATTTTAATTTGCCACTTACAGGGTCTATTTTTGAGAATTTTAGATTCACTAATTCAACAAAGATTAATTGTGTGATTATTACACTTAAAGCACAAGTATATAAAGCAGTTTCCTTTTTTTTGTTTTTTTTTTTTTTTTTTGAGACAAAGTCTCACTGTGTCACCCTCGGTAGAGTGCTGTGGCATCATAGCTCACAGCAACCTCAAAGTCTTGGGCTTAAGTGATTCTGTTGCCTCAGCCTTCCAAGTAGCTGGGACTACAGGTACCTGCCACAATGCCTGGCTATTTTTTGGTTGTAATTGTCATTGTTTGGCAGGCCTGGGCTGGGTTCAATCGGGTTAGCTCCAGTGTATGTGGCTGGTGCCCTAGCCAATGAGCTACAGGCACCAAGCCTGTAAAAGCAGTTTCTTTCAACACTTTCCCCCTGGAATGGTAAATGAATAAACATGACATGGTTATCTATTTCATACTAGTTATTGATTCATGTTCTTCCCTTGATGTTTTTACCTTGGCAGCCTCCCGGGCTCAACAAGGAGAGGTGATGAGGTTGGCATGTCGTTTGGATCCCAAGACTAGCTTCCAGATGGCTGGGGAATGGCTAAAGTATCAGTTCTCATCTTCTATTGATGCTGGATCCATGAATTGTAAGTTTTTTTTCATTACTAGGCATTAGTGAAGTATTTTAACAGTATCAAAACTGTTCATAAGAAATAAGCCTAAGCCTCACATCAGAACAGTATTAATTTTTAATCCTGTTAAAAAATAGCTTTGCACACTGCCTAATTCCATCCTAGGGAGTAAGCATTTTCATTGGCTTATACAAAGTAAGCAGATAAAAACCACATCCTTATCAGATTTGCCTCATAGCTCACTGTAACTCCAGGCTCATGATCCTCCTTCCTTGGCCTCCCAAAGTACTAGAATTATAGGGATAAGCCATCTTGCCTGACCCATTTTTCTTTTATAACAGAATCAACCAATTGTTTATTATTTATTCTTATTGCCATCTTAACCAATTGGACGTGCCAGGTAACATCTTAACAAATTGCATGTCTAGACTTAATGTTTAAAACTTTTCAACCAAGTTCAGAAAGAATATCCTATTAGGCATAATAGGAACACTACAAGGACTTCCCATATCATTCAGCCACCTCAAAGCCTTTGGGAAATTCCACTTTGTATAGAATCAGAAGAAATCCTCCCTACCCAAATGTATTAGCCAGTTAATTTTCTGTCCTCTTATTAATGCATACTGCCTGTGACAGGATTAATAAAGCAGGAAAGGGTGAATTAACTCGTGCAAGGGTCTGCTTTAGAAAAGCTCCATACTAATGGTTGCTTTCCACATTCATGGGATTTAACGTTCAGTTGGGAGTGTTCCTAATCAACTCTAACATCTTTGGCATCTGGTAAGTTAAAAGTTTGAAAAGGCCCAAACATGTTGTAGCAATGTGATGTTCATATATAGAATTCATAGCTAACATAATGTTAGTAAGGAGTACTATATGCAAGCAAGAAAAGCAATTTGTAAATCTGTTTGCCTGCCCCTGGCTGAGTAATGTGCTTTGGTGATACGTGTGAATTTTGAGGATGGCAGAGTTCTCCAAACATAGCCTTTTATGGCTGATACTATTTGTTTATTGGAAAGAGTCTTTATAGTCTCAAGTGTCTTAATTATTTAGATTCTTATAGATTATGAAGTAGGAAGAGGGGAGAAACTAATGGCATTTATCGAGTGCCTCTAATGGGCCAGTCACTGTTTTTGATGCTTATATGTATATACTCGTTCAGTATTCAAAATAGTTTTTATAGTAACACTCAAATAAGTAAGTTCTGATAGTTTGTTGTTAAGAGAGAGATAGGGTAGGGTGCCAGGCACAGTAGCTCACACTTGTAAACATTTTAGAAAGCTGAGGTGAAAGATGGAGACTTTACTTCCTTTGTGTTTACATGGATGGAGCTAGAAAATATTCTTCTTAGCAAAGTATCCCAAGAATGGAAGAAAAAGTATCCAATGTACTCAGTCCTACTATGAAACTGATTTATAGCTTTCATAGGAAAGCTATAACCCAATTTTAGCCCAGGAAAATGGGGAGAGGGGGAAAAAGGGGAGGAGAGGGAGGAGGGTAGGTGGAAGGAGAGTGATTGGTGGGATCACTCGTATGGTTCATCCTATAAGGGTACATGTGAATCTCTCTAAGTGTAGAATATAAATGTCTTAACACAATAACTAAGAAAAAGACATGAAGGCTATGTTAACCAGTTGGATGAAAGTATTTCAAATTCTATACAGAAACAGTACACTGTACCTCATGATAGTATTAATGTACACTGCTATGATATAATAAAAGAAAGAAAAGAAAGCTGAGGTGGATGAATCTCCTATACTCTGGAGCTCGAGACCAAGACCCCATCTCTGAAAAGAAAAAAGTAGCCAGGCATTGTGGTGGGTGCCTTTAGTCCCAGCTATTTGGGAGGCTGAGGGAAGAGGATTACTTGAGCCCAAGAGTTTGAGGTTGCTGTGAGATACGATGCCATGGCACTCTACCAAGGTTGACAAAGTGAGACTCTGTCTCAAGAAAAATAGAGAGAGAGAGATAGGGTAGAGTAGAAACCCCAACCTACCTTTCTGCTTTCAGCACTCATATTCTTTTCTTTGCCCAAGCTGAGAGAGGTTAGATTAGCCGGTTCCTTCAACTGTGAATTTACCAGGTGATCTGTAAGACTCCATCCTCTGTATCTTCCGTGATCCTTCAGTGCTGATAAGTGTTTGTGTCTGTACTTTAAAAGCATGTTCTCCTGCTACTGGAACTGGAGAAGGAAGCCTCTGCTCCATCTTCTCCCCTTCATTTGTGCAGTGGGAAGCCATGACTTTTTTCTTGGAAAGTGTGATCAACCAGATGTTTCGAACACTAGATAAAGAGGTAAGTAACTATTTCTCATGCTGACTACATAATTATTTTGATCTTTTTTAAATCGGTAGAGGGATAGGAAGATCTATGGATGTGAATCTTATGTATAAGGAAACAGAGATTTAGAGGGGTTAAATAACATACTCATTTTCAAGTAGCTAGTAAATTGCAGAGGTGGGACCAAAATTTGGGACTCTTATTCTAAGCCCTATAACATATAGCATCTATTTTAAGGGGATGATAAGCCTGATAACACAGAGCCAAAGCTGAATGTTTTAAAAGACATAACAAAAAAATGTTTAGACTGGCAGGGTGAGGTGGCTTACTCCTGAGTTTAAGCAGTCTACCTGCCTTGGCCTTCCCAAGTGCTAGGCATCAGCCATAGATAGCGCCCAGCCTTATAGATGGGTTTGATAACGAATGCATATATCTTTTAAACATTACTTAACAATTAGCACCACAATGTTGAAGAATAATTTGGCAGTGGCTATTGAAGATACTTAGTGTTACAAACCAGCAATTCTACTCCTAGACTATAAGAAAACCTTGCATGTGTACAGACACCAATATTCATATTAAGAATAGGAGAAAACAACATATCAACCAATGAAATCATAGATGAATAGATTGTATTTACTGAGCAGTGAAAATGAAATAGGGCTGTACTACAAATAAGGATGATTCTCATAAATATAATGTTGATCAGAAACAGCAAACTATACAAGTAAACATACAATACTGTGCAATTAGGAATATGTACATATGTAGCAAAAGTATTGCTAAAATTTAAAACTATTAAATATAGACCCTATCCACTAGACTTGTGGCCACCTCTAGAGCTCAAAAGGAGTGTTATACACAGAGAGTGTCAACTCTGTCACCAACAGTGCATGTGAGGTTTACTAAATTATTACTTATACCTTTTTATATGTCTGGAATATTTTGCAATAAACTTTTAAATAAATTGATAAGAAAAAACCCCACTAGAACCCAGAAGAGAAATAGACAAAAGATACAATCAGGTAATGTGTAGAGGAGAAACTAAAGTGGCCAAAAAATATGAAAGAAATACAATTTTAAGTAACCTTTGTGTGTGTGTGTAATAAACAGAGGTTTGGGGGAATAATGCTACTGCTGAGAATGTGGTAAGGACACATTGGGTAGAGAATCAATTGATAGAACCTGTAAAGAAGAAAAGCAGGTTGATATGTTCATACTTTTTTGAACAGAGACCCTGTTCTTACAGGAAAAATATTCATATTTTTTGACCAAATAATTCTAGCCATTACCAAAAATTCGTTATCCAAATGAAATAATTGAAAACATAGACAAAGAAATTTTTTGCAAAGATACACATTAGCATTATTTATGATAATGAAGAACTAAAAACATTCTCAATTTCTAGTAGTTGGAAATGCTATATCCCAAAGATGGCACATGGCAATGTTGTTTATGAAAAGCTTTTATTGTTTTGAGATATATTCTCACTCTGTTGCCCTCGGTTGAGTGCTGTGGCTTCATAGCTCATAGCAACCTCAAACTCTTAGGCTCAATCAGTCTTCTTGCCTCAGCCTCCCAAGTTTCTGGGACTATAGGCATGTACCATCATACTTAGCTGTTTTTTTCTATTTTTAGTAGAGACAGGGTCTCGCAGTTCCTTAAGCTGGTCTCAAACTCCTTGACCTTAAGGGATCTACCCACCTCAGTCTCCCAGAGTGCTGGGATTACAGGTGTGAGCCACTGTGCCCTGGCTGTTTATGAAAATTTTTAAGAACATGGGGAAATTTTAGGGCTTTTTAAAAAGCATTTATAAAGTCATCCGTGGCAATCAATATTATGTATTTATGAATTAGAATCTAAAGAAAATTTAGAAAAAGTGGTTATCTTTGCCATGTCAACCTTTTCGTTATATCTGCATTACAGGCAATTCCTGTTAATGATGGAATAGAGTTGTTGCAGATGGTCCTAAACTTTGACACCAAGGATCCCCTCATTCTGTCTTGTGTCCTCACTAATGTCTCAGCACTCTTTCCATTTGTCAACTATAGACAAGAGTTTCTGCCACAGGTCTTCTCTAAGGTAAAGTTCATGTTTTAAATTTTATTTTGACATTTCTAAGCTAATTTTTTTTTTTTTTTTTTTCACAGAAATGAGGGTAGGGATCTATGTTGGTTAGGCTAAAATTGAACTCCTGGGGTTGAGCATCTTTCTCCTTCAGCTGCTCACATAGCTGGGACTATAGGCATGTGCCACTACGCCTGGTTTAAGCTAATTATTTCTTACAACTGTTTTTGAAATTATGTAAGGCAAACTAATAAACAGACATTTATTAAATATTTACTCAGTATTTATTATATAGATCAGGCACCATGGTAGTGTCTCACCCTTTAGAAATGCTCTGGGATGAAAGGGGTATAAACAAGTGGGGGTGGCTAATTGATCAAAAATACAGTAAGTTAGATAGAATAAACAATTTGGTAGTACAGAAAGTCACTGTAATCAACAGTAAATTCGGATATACTTTAAGATAACTAAAAGAAGGGAATCAGAATGTTTCTGATACAAAAGAAACTTAAATGCCTGAGGTGATAGATACCCCAATTACCCTGATTGGATTAATTCACATCATATGCCTGAATCAACACATCACATGTACCCTGTGAAGGTATACAACAATTATGTACCTGTAATAATTAAAAATTTTAAAAAACATTTTTTGAAAGGCACATAAACAAATTTACCTATATGACATTGCAATTAATAGACCTTTACACTGACTGGGTAATGGAAAGGAATACCTAAAGAAGAGTGTCGGTGCATTCTATTGTTTCGGGAGGGGATTTGTGAGAGGAAGGGACAGTATGGATAGTTTTCAGATTCCCAGTTGAGGTGACTAAGTGGGTAAAGAGCCACCACTTGAATGAAAATACTCGATCAGGAGGGAAAGCAGGAGTAAAGAGAACGGGGAACTTCTAGGTGAAGACAACTCACAATAGAGGCAGAGGCAAGTGGATTGCCTGAGCTCATTAGTTTGAGACCATCCTGAGCCAGAGCAAGACCTCATCTCTAAAAATGGCCAGCGTTGTGGTGGGTACCTATAGTCCCAGTTACTTGGGAGGCTAAGGCAAGAGAATCCCTTAAGCCTAAGTTTGAGGTTGCTGTGAGCTGTGATGCCACAGCACTGTATTGAGAGTGACAAAAAGAGATTCTGTCTTTACAAAATAAATAAAAAGACATCTCACAATAAATTGGCCATTTGAGGTTGAAGATCTAAACTCAAGAAGATAATGAGATAAAATCAAAGCATCGTCATAGAAATCCCAAGACTAGAGTGAAGTTCTAGGAGAGAAAATATGTGTGATACATGCATGGGTCAAGCAAGTTGCCCTGCAGATCACCTTCATTGGAGGAGAAGAACAAAGAATGAGAAGCCCTCAAAGAAGGAAAAAGAGCCAGAGAAATGAAGAATATGTTGTGTCACAAGGCCAGTATAACTTCAGAAAAGTGGGCTCATTTGTTCTAACAGAAATCGTCTAAGAGTTGGAGAAACATCTTGAGTAGGTACCTCGTCTGAGTGTAATTCCATCTTCCTGGTTAAGGAAGTAGCCAGATAAATTGGATTAAGGAATAAATGGAAAGTTATGAAATTGGTTCAGGGAGAATAAATATTGAACTTTGGATTAAAAGTAGAGAATATAGAGCTGCTATCATAGCTAAGCATTTGGGTGCTGGCAAGGATTGTTCGGGGATCTTTTACCTTATAAAATGTCCTGGTGATAAAACTGTGAATCTCAAGCTTCTTCTAAAAGTATCTGAGAAAATATATATCTGAAACTTCCCAACATCAGTTGAAAGCCCTTTTGTTACCATGTTACTGAGAATTCAATTCTGAAATTTTGTTGGAAATTTTATGGTAACTATTGTTTTAAAACACATATAAGCACTGTACCCCATGTTTGCATTAATGTATACAGCTATCATTTAATAATAATAAAAAAAAAACACATATAAGCCAGACATGGTGGCACATACCTGTAGTCTGAGCTACTTGGAGGGCTGAGATTGCTTGAGCACCATAGTGAGACTTTGTCTCTAAAATAAACAAGTAAATAAACACAAGAGTGACCTTTTTTTTCCTCCTCCCTTAGCTGTTTTCATCTGTCACTTTTGAAACTGTTGAAGAAAGTAAGGTAAGACCATTAATTAAACCAACAGATTCTAACTTCTTGAGAGCAAAAGTATGAATATGGGGTTTTGTGTAAGTGGGAGTGATCAGTAACTGCTATAGTTTGTCACGTGATATAGTGTTTTGCCCTAGGGACAAACCTAGGGCAAACAATAACATGTGGATGCTTGGTGACTATAAATGTCACTCCATTATACTCCTACAGTTGTAAAAGTTGATTGTGAATTTGTCTCTGACTGACATATTTACATGATTCTATGGAGCATCTATGAATTACATTAAAAATGGTTCTGAGTTTGCTGAATACTTTCCAGGCCCCCAGAACCCGGGCAGTAAGAAATGTGAGGAGACATGCCTGTTCCTCTATCATCAAGATGTGTCGTGACTACCCTCAGCTCGTACTGGTAAGCCACTAGACCCTGGCTGAGTAGCCATTGAGTCCTGTTTGTTGGATTTGGGTCCATTTGTTTGTAAATCCAACGTCATTATACCTCACATAAAGGAAAAACTAAGAACTGCAGCTTTGTCTAGAATAAGCATTCTTGAGTTTATGTATTCTTTCTTACTACTTAGTACATGTAGCATATTTAGAAATGCAAATAAATTCATCCCTCAAAATATGAATAGTTCTCTTCTATGTGAATGGTTAAGCTTAACCTTGTCAATCTACAACTCTTTTACCGTATCATATGGTGTCCTTAATTACTGTGGTCAAACAGTGTGTCTCATCTTGAGAGAAGCCATGTGCATATATGAAATTTAATGTTACTCCACATTACAGTCACCCAGAAATTTCTTCTCTAAATACATGGCAGTATCTCCCTATACACATAACAAACTGATCTTTGCCTGTGAAGATACTATAAACTTGATATTAAAAAAAGAAATTGTTTTCACAAAGTATGGGAAGGTGTAGTTATTCGAAAACTCAAAACAAGAAGTACCTTCTTCCAGTACTGATTACTGTCAAAAAACCCCAAAAAACTACTTTCTACCTAAATTTCCTTGTTTATTCAGGCAAAAGAACATTATAACAGTATTAATAAGTGATAGCCTTATAGGCCTGACCTTCCTTGAGCTGCTTAGTGTCTTCCTTGAGTGAAAGGAAAAGTTAGACCTCTCACTGAAAATGCAGACCTTCATCACCTCTGGCTTTTTTCCTTTGTGATCTACAGCCTAATTTTGACATGTTTTATAACCATGTGAAGCAACTCCTTTCCAATGAGCTACTTCTTACACAAATGGAGAAGTGTGCCCTCATGGAAGCCCTGGTTCTCATTAGCAACCAATTCAAGAACTATGAGCGTCAGAAGGCGTTCCTAGAGGAGCTGATGGCACCAGTGGCCAGCATTTGGCTTTCTGAAGACACACACAGGTAGAGGAGATCCCTTGGCTGCCTCTCACTGCACTTACCACCCATTCTGTTTCAAAAGTCATGCCCAGGGTGGGCACAGGGGTCGAAGACATTGAGGTGTGATGGCACTATGAGTGAAATCTGAAGTTCTCTACGAGTAGTCTTTTGTAACCTAATCTCTGAAAAGGTCACTTTGCTGTTCAGAGATGTAGAGGGGAAAGGAAATGAGGAAAAATGGATAGTATGAGTTGTGAGGGCACAGAGTGAGGCTCCTACAGTGTCTGAGTTGCAGCACCAGCACATATGGAGAAATGAGAACAGCAAGGGCCATATGAAGTAGGAGCCACACAGAGACCCTCACCTGTGCCTGCATAATAAAAATTTTTTTTTCATATTCTCAAGCTTGTATCCTTTTTTAATAACATTTGGGAGTGGATTGGAAGTTTAAACCTTCCAGTAGCCACTAACAATATTCACCTTCTCTCACTGTAAAAATTGCTCTTCAGGGCCAAATAATCGTAACTTATTAGCTCCTGTGGAAGAAACTGTCCTTGCTTAAAATCATGATTATTGCTTGTCTTTCCCCCTCCAACCTTTAGAGTGCTGTCAGATGTTGATGCTTTTATTGCCTATGTGGGTGCAGATCGGAAGAGCTGTGACCCAGGCCTGGAAGATCCCTGTGGCTTAAACCGTGCACGAGTAAGACTCTCCTGGGACTGGGAAGTTGCATTGGCCTTGTGTAGGAGTAGGATAGTATCTTTTGTCAAGTTTCTTGTAAATTTGTTATTACTATTCTGGTGAGAAACCTGGGAGTCTCCACGTCCCTAAGCTTCTCCTTTCTTTTCTTCTTTAGTCTTGAATTCTTGAGTTAGTTCCCACAGCAGAGCAGATGGTCTTTTCTATGAAGTCATTATTTTGGCTTTAAGGATCTCTAAATAGCTCTGAAGACTGAAGGTGTAATGAGGAAGTAGGTCAGAACTTGGTCAGCAGGGTGAGTTCTCCCTGCCATTGCTCTCTGGCATGTAAAGTCCTAAGTGATGATGTGACTTGCAAACCTGAGGTTTTTCAGTAATTTGCTATTCAAGTAAGCATTATTCCTGCCTCCATTATGGCTGAAGTCACATGAATTAGCCTGGCAAGTAGTAGATTAAGAGTACCATGAAGGGGGGAGCTAGGGCACTAGCTGTCAAGGTCCAGGCTGGAAGTTAAAGGTTCAACTCAAACAAGACAAAATGATGGCAGTTTAAACACTTTGTTTTGGAGCATATCTAAGCCACTTTCTAATTAAGGTCTTATGGGAGGGTTACTATAAGCCCCAGAAGGATATCCTCCTGAAAGTGAAGCTTCTAGAGCCTACCATTGGTCCTGAAAATGGCAGTGTGTGGACCCCTCTTGGACGTCACCTTAAAGGAAGGGACAGGGATCCCATGGGGATGGGGAGAACAGAGGGTTCCTTCATTCTTTCTGGCCTCTATGTCACTTTTGCCATAGCCTTGAATGTTCCTAACAGTACTTTTGTCTTTACATCCCCTTTTATGTTTACCTTCCATTCTTATTTTTCTATAGATGAGCTTCTGTGTGTATAGCATTCTGGGTGTTGTGAAACGAACTTGCTGGCCCACTGACCTAGAAGAAGCTAAAGCTGGGGGATTTGTGGTGGGTTATACACCCAGTGGAAATCCAATCTTTCGTAACCCCTGCACAGAGCAGGTTCTCAAACTTCTTGACAATTTGCTTGCCCTTATAAGGTGAGTCAGAATAATCGTTTTTTTCTGTTTGTTTACCTTTTACTTTAAGAATTTCAAAAGTTTAATCAGTTTTTATACATCTTTATATCATAATGGTGATATTGAAGAATTAAGTCTTGTTTCTTGGGCAGGGGTCTCTTTTTTTGAAAATTAACATCAGCTCACACTTGTATAAGTCTTGCATTCCATGTGAACCCAGGGGTGCTAATCCAAAAATATCTTTTCTCATTTTGAGCTTTCTCCATGTTCTTCTCCCATCTTTTACTTTTAAGTTTTATTTGGTTTAAGTCTTTGTTAGTAAAGGAATTATTCACTGGGAGCAGGACAATTGCTTTCTATACTGGTTCTTCTCTGTTAAATTCTTAAGTTAATCCGAATTTATCAGTAGTGACTCTGAGCTCAAATGAACCAAACATTATACGCTGCCTGATCATGCCAAAGGAAAGAATGATAAATGTTTTGTCTCAGTTTTGGTTCTTGGTTCTCAAAGCTGAGTCCTGGTGCTAGGACTAGCAGCATCAGCAATTACTTGACATCTTGTTTGAAAGGCAGAATTGGGGCCCCAACCCAGACATACTAAATCAGAATCTGCATTTTAACAAGATATGCCCAGGTGGCTTATGTGTACATTAATGGTTAAAAATCAGTGTTCTAGATTATATGAGCTTATATATTTAAGTAGAAGTAGGCCAGTGTATGCTTATTGGTTACTAGATGTTTATTTGATGATTTAGGGATGCTCTTTAAAGAAGATAAAGGTTTTTTTGCAGTTTTTGGCTGGGGCTTTGTTTGAACCCACCACCTCCAGTATACGGGGCCAGTGCCCTAGTCCTTTGAGCCATAGGCGCCGCCCAAGAAGATAAGTTTTTGATAGGAGTCAGTTTTTATTGACCAAAATAGAATTTGAGTGCTTTTTTTTAATATCTCATGGTATTAGTAAGCTACAAGTTAAAGCTCCATTTCAGTATATTTTGGCCTTTCTCGGGGAGTAAGAGCAGAATTTCAACTGGGCAAGTCGAATTACTCATGGCTCAGGGAAACTTCCTGGCAACAGATATTTAAGAGCAGAAGAAGCAGAAGAGTCAAAAGTTGTTTTGTTTTTTTTTTGAGACAGGAGCCTCAAGCTGTCCCCCTGGGTAGGGTGCCGTGGCATCTCAGCTCACAGCAACCTCCAACTCCTGGGCTCAAGCGAGTCTTCTGCCTCTGCCTCCCAAGTAGCTGGGACCACAGGTGCCCACCACAACACCCGGCTATTTTTTGGATGCAGCCATCATTGTTGTTTGGCGGGCCCGGGCTGGATTCGAACCTGCCACCTTGGGTGTACGTGGCTGGCGCCTTAGCCACTTGAGCCACAGGCGCCAAGCCAGAATCAAAAGTTTTAAGTTAATATTGATCAAAATGCAAGGCCAGAGTATCTGATAGGGTTGTCATTGTGGACATGTCTTTGGAAATAGACAATACTTTGTTCTGATTTTGAAGGGAGGAACGATATCAATAATGATGTATGAAGTAGGTATAATGGTTCAGGCCTATAATCCTGGGATTTGAGAGGTTGAGGCTAGAACACCACTTGAGGCCAGGAGTTCAAGACCAGCCTGAGCAGCATAGCAAAATCCCATCTCTTAAAAACATGAGGTAAGCCTCTGTGCACTGGGAGTGGTGGGTTTGAACCCACCCCAGGTCTACTAACCCACACCCACCCCAGGCAGGTGTGATGGCACATGCCTATAGTCCCAGCTACTTGGGAAGTTTGTGCCCGAAAGTTCATGGCCACAGTGAGCCATGATTGCACACCCTCCTGAACCTCATCTCAAAAAAAAGTATGGCTGTGTTGAGAAGCTAGTGAAATATTTAGTCAAAGCAAAGCTTATTTCCATACTGAATTTTTTTTTTTTTTTGGAGACAGAATGTCAAGCTGTTGCCGTGGGTAGACTGCCGTGGCGTCACAGCTCAGCGCTCTCAGACTCTTGGGGGGGTTTTTTGTTGTTTTTGTTGTTGTTGCAATTTGGCTGAGGCCAGGTTTGAACCTGCCACCTTCATTATATAGCACTGGTGCCCTACTCTCTGAGCCACAGGCACCGCCCGAGACTCTTGGGTTTTAAGTGATTCTTTTGCCTCAGCCTCCCAAGTAGCTGGGACTATAGGCGCCCACCACAATGCCCGGCTATTTTTTGTTGTTGTTACAGTTGTCCTTGTTGTTTTTAGCAGGCCTGGGCTGGGTTCAAGCCTGCCAGCTCTGGTGTGTGTGGCCAGTGCCCTACACACTAAGTTACGGGTGCCCCCGCATACTGAAATTTTTAAATCAAAAGGTTCTGCAACTAGAGAAATGTGAACTTGAGGGAAGTCATAGGGCAAGACACATCACTAGACCTTTATAGGCCTGTGACCAGAATCCATGTGGAAGAACCCAAACTTGGAAATGAAATCCATTTCTGGTTGGGTAAAGTGGCCACAAGACAGCAATTATAGTTGTCATCTTGGTATTTTTCTAACAGTTCAGTGCTTTCATTATTTTATTTATTTATTTTTGAGACACAGCCTCACTCTGTCACGCTGGGTAGAGTGCCATAGCGTCATAGCTCCCAGCAACCTATAACTCCTAGGCTCAAGTGATCCTCTTGCTTCAGCCTCCTTGAGTAGCTGGGACTACAAGAGCCTGCCACAATGCCAAGCTATTTTTTTAGAGACAGGGTCTTGATCCTGCTCAGGTCTCAGACTCGTGCGCTTCAAGCAATCTACCCACCTCAGCCTCCCAGAGTGTTAGGATTATAGGCGTGAGCCACCACGCTCAGCCTAGTTCAGTGCTTTTAGAATATTCTAAAACCAATCAATAAGTATTTTGAAACATGTTGACATAGTGACTTTGCAGTTAAATTGCTTGAGTACTGTGCAGCTGGAGATATTTGAGTTTTGTTTTTCAGTAAATTTTATCTTGCCTAAGTGAGAGTGAGACCCCAACTCCTAAAAAAGTGAAAATCCAGCCAGGCACCACAGTAAGCACCTGTAATCCCAGCAGCTTCCAGAGGCTGAGGCAGTGGGATGCCCACAGCCCAAGTCTGAGGTTGCAGTGAGCTATGATGCCATTGCACTGTGCTCAGGGCATAGGGTGAAACTCTTGTCTCAACAACAACAACCCAAAAAAGGCAAAGAAATATAATGTACCCTATAAAAAAGGGCAGGCCTGGCACAATGGCTCATTCCTGTAATCCTAGCACTTGGGAGGCTGAGGCAGGTGGGTTCAAGACCAGCCTGAGTCAGAGTGGGACCCCTGTCTCTAAAAATAGCCAGGCATTGTGGCTATCGCCTATAGTCCCATTTACATGGGAGGCTAAATCTAGAGAATCGCTTAAGCCCAAGAGTTTGATGTTGCTGTGAGCTATGATGCCATGGCACTCTACTGAGGGCGACAAAGTGAAACTGTCTCAAAAAAAAATTTAAAAGGGCACAAATTATGCATGTGTGTAGATTAATTTTCACAAAGTGTACAATTCCATGTAATCACCCAGATCAAGAAACAACCTTATCCAGTACCTCTTTTCAGTCATTACCTCCTTCTCAAGAAGTAACCACTATTGTGATTTTTAACATTTTGCCTTTTTTTTCTTTTTTTGGCAGTTTTTGGCCGGGGCTGGGTTTGAACCCTCTACTTCAGCATATGGGGCCGGCGCCCTACTCCTTTGAGCCACAGGCGCCGGCCTTTTTTTTTTTTTTTTTTTTTGAGCTTTATATAAATGTGTCAAAAGTGTGCACTTTTTGGTATCTAGCTTCTTTTCCTAAATATTGTTTTTGTAAGATTCATCCATGTTATTGTATATAATTGTGGTTTATTCATTCTCATTGCTTGTATACATTTCCATTGTTTGAATATCCTATAACTGACCTATTCAGCCCTGATGGACTTTGGGGCAATGTTTTAATTTTACAAATAGTATTGCTGTTATCATTCTATATATGTCTTCTGGTGAACATAATTTCTGTTGGGTAGAATTCCCGGTTTATAGGGTATGTGTGTTTTTCAGTTTTCATAGATATGGGCAGTTTTCTAAAGTGATTGAACTAATCTGTTCCCACTGGTTATGTGCTGGAGCTATGAGTTTTAAGTTGCTATCTTTTTCATAGAGTGAAGTTTGCTTGTTTTAAAGATGTGGCATGGTATTGATAGCACTTACAATGTCAGATAGCCTGAGATGTTAAAGCTGCTCTGTCCAATATGGAAGCCCCTAGTCACATGCACTTACTGAGCACTTGGAAGGTCTCTATTCTGAAGGGTAAAATACACACCAGGTTTCTAAACCCTAGTACAAAAAAATGTAAACTGTCTCATTAATAACTTTTTATGTTGATAACATGTTGAAGTGATACTTTTGATACATTGGGTTAAATAAAATATAATTAATTTAACCTGGAATTTTTAATTTTTTTAGAGTTAGGGGTCTTGCTATGTTGCCTATGGACTCAAGCTGTCCTCCTGCCTCAGCCTCCTGATTTATTTTTCTTGTTACTAGAAATTTCTTTCTTCTTCTTTTTTTTTTTTTTTGACCAGACATGGTCTCTGTCTTGGTTACTCAGGGCAGAGTACAGTGGCATCATCATAGCTCACTAGACCCTCAGACTTGTAGCCTCAAGCAATCCTCCTGCCTCAGCCTCTGGAGTAGCTTAGATTATAAGCACCAGGCATCACTCCAGCTTCTTTTTGTGTTTTTTGTATAGACAGGGTCTTGCTCGTGCTCAGGCTGTTCATTATTACTAGAAAATTTTAAATGACTTACATGATTTACATTATACAGGTTGAGTACCCCTCATTTGAAATACTTGGAACCAAAGCTATTTTGGATTTTGAATATTTACATTATAATTATTGTTTGAGCATCCCTAGAGTGCTCCAATGGGTGGGGCACAATGGCTCATGCCTGTAATCCTAGCACTCTGGTAGACTGAGGTGGGCAGATCCCTTGAACTCAGGAATTTGAAACTCGCCTGAGCAAGAATAAGACCCCCATTTCCACTAAAAATACAAAAAATTAGCTGGGCATTGTGGGAGTCCCTGTAGTCAGCTATTCTGGGGGTGCTGAGGCAGGAGGATCACTAAACCGGGGAGTTGGAGGGCGCTGTGAGCTAAGCTAACACTGTGGCACTCTAGCCTGGGCAACAGAGTAAGACGGTGCCTCAAGAACGAAAAAAAAAAGTGCTCCAATGAGCATTTCCTTTGAGTGTAATGTGGTGCTCAAAAAGTTTGGGATTTTAGTGACTTATGCCTGTAATCCTAGCATTCTAGGAGGCCAAGGCAGGTGGATTGCCTAAACTCAGGAGTTCGAGACCAGCCTGAGCAAAAGCCAAACTGGGTCTCTACTAAAAATAGAAACACTAGGTGGGTCTTGTGGCAGGCACCTGTAGTCCCACCTACTCAGGAGGCTGAGGCAAGAGGATCACCTGAACCCAAGAGATTGAGGTTTGCGGTGAGCTGTGATACTACAGCTTTCTACCCAGGGCAACAGAGCGAGCCTCTATCTCAAAAAAAAAAAAAGTTTGGGACTTTGGACTTCTGGATTTTCACATTTGTGATACTCAACTTGTATCTCTGTTTGTCAGTGCTATTGGTAATGGTTCGGGTAGAAGGCAGATGTGGGAGAACAGAACTCTCTAGTTCTCAAAAGGTTCATTGTCCTTATCTGTTTAAAATAAGTTTTTTTGTTATCTTGAAATTCGTTACATTATTTCTGCAAATCTTCTATATGTTTAATCAAAATCTTTATATATATGGCTCGGCACCTGTGGCTCAAGTGGCTAAGGCGCCAGCCACATTCACCTAAGGTGGCAGGTTTGAATCCAGCCCGGGCCGCCAAACAACAATGACGGCTGCAACCAAAAAATAGCCGGGCGTTGTGGCAGGTGCCTGTGGTCCCAGCTACTTGGGAGGCAGAGGCAGG